CTCGAGAGGTTTCTTGCTACTGAGCGTTTTTACCGGGATACAGACAGTAGAGCTACAATCTAGCTCTCACGTATGGGTTGGTAGAGGGAAAAAGGTAAACATTGCAGGAGAGGATGACCACAACGTCATAGCAGTTGAAAGCAAATTTGTGAAATATGAACTACAGCAAATTCTACACTAAAAAAATTCCACACATTTTTATTGGCGAATTTCCATGTAAAACTCCACATGATTTTCATTTGACCACACATAAACAGAATCCACTCAGAAGTACACATGAAATTTAAGTGTCAAATGAATAGTATGTGTGGTCATATATATCATTTGTTGATCACATTGCAAAAACTCATGTGTGGGACACATAAAAACAATCTTTGAAATTTTCTTAGTGTAGATATGTTTGCATGATGATTGCGCTTGCTTGTACGCACAAAAAACTAAAATGGTATTAATAAAAATAAAGCATTTTTAAATTAAAAGTTTCCCAAAACTCATAGTTTCATTTACGAAAACATTCAAAATTAAATTATATTTTTTTAATTGAAAGTGTTTCTTTCACTTTCGATTCGTAAATTTAAAAGTGTTTCTTTTAAATGAAAAGTTGTACAACTATCAAAATACCGATGTTTTTACTGGCAGCACGGAACCCTCTTTTGCCGATTTTTCCTATAAAATAAATCAAGTTGAATAATCTCAATAGCATTATGGCAGTGGAGAATCTTTGTGTCCAGATGATTGGGAATTCGATGTAAGTATTGAAAATGAACAATTGAAGAAGATAAGCTATCACACCCGTCCATCATTCCAGTGGCTTCGATTACCGGCAATATGCGCTGAATGCAGGAGCAAACTTCCGGAGCAAGAGATGATATTCCCACGCCCGTAAATAACTCACCATCCTCACAAAGATAAATACAGTCACAAATAGGTAAGTGGCGGCCGTCCACTGACCGGCAAAGAATGCTTCTATACAAATCCATTTTCAGTTACCCGTTTGAGCGGCCGTCATTACTCACTGGATACCTTATCACCTTAGCCTTGATGGCAAAAAAAAAAAAAAACAGCAACGCTATGAATTTTTCAATGCAAGAAAGCATCGTTGGCACTAATCTTTACATTGGTATGTGCTTTCTTATCTCACTTCGACAATAAATATCATAACTAACTTTCATTTCATTCCGGTAAATCATACACCAGCGGACAGGTGATTATTGGTGATCCTCTGGCATTCACATCGAAGATGATCCCCTGCCGGTATCACGGATGTTATGTACCTACCACTTCATCGACTACGATTATGTTGTGCAATATACAAAATTACGGAAGTAGGGTGATGGTAACCACGGGAAACAAGGAGATTTCTGTAGAATTGTCACACAAAATGCTTCGATCTTTCACGTCGAGGTAACGAGAAAGGAAAATTCCGCTGGCGAATGGTACACGAGAAAAGTGAGCTCCGATTTGGAATGAACGATTTGTCCTCGGAAACTGCGAGATTATCCGTGAATGATGTCCCTGGAAGTCGATTTCTTGGGGTGTTGCTTCCCCTGTTTGGAGCAGAGAACTACTGTAAGAATCTGGTCACAGGAGAAGACGGCACCATTGTTCCACACGCTTTTGCCAAACGAATATTACCTCCGGGCGAAAGAGGTCGACTTCGAACTAAATTCCAGGATTATTCCGTTGCAACGTTAAACGGTGAACTGCGTGCAACTTGACTGCTTTTTTTTCATTTTCAGTTTGATCATTACAGTAAAAAATATAATAATTATATTAAACATATATTCGAACCTTTGTATTAAAAAATAGACACTTTAAATTTAATATTTTCTTAGAATTTAAAATAAAACTACGATGTTGTTTTGAAAATATTAATTTTGAATTTAAAATAATCCGCTTTCAATTTCTACACTGCCCCGTTTTTCATCTGACTGTTACTACAATTTATTTTGAAAGTTTCAGCTTTTAAAAGAAAGGGCGCGGGCAACTTTTGAATTGACAGTTGGCAGACTTTCGATTCGAAAGCTATCCGCTTTCTACCAAAAAGAACCAAACTTTCAATTCTACCAATGTTATTTTTAATTTTATCAATGATTATTTTTTTGTGTGTATGTTTTTGTAAAGTATCCAGGAAATATCAGCAGGTGTTTTGTATTTTTTATAGTTACTTCCTACTTGCACACGGGCAAAAACTCACCAGTAGACTGCTTTTTCATGGTATACAGTATGCTAATAAAATAATCAATACACTATCTCAACATTCAGTGGAAAAACATTCATAAATTTTGGCTTCACACAGAAATTCTATAATTCATATTCAATTTCCAATGCAAACGCTGATTGAAACAAACGTTATGACGTAGCTACGAGCGTGTTTGAGCGTACGAAAGAAGCAAATCGTGCGCAGCCGACTGAAAGCCGAGTGAAAAACAAACTGCACCAATACGTACAGGCGAACAATTCCACACCTTGTATAGACCAGGTTCACGATGGAAAATGAACAGGTGGGCAGGAACTCACAGTCTCCCAGTGTTGGTGAGTTCTTTGCCGTTAATGTTCACGAAAAGTTCACTATTTTGCTATACAGAAATTCAAAACAAAAATTTTATCTGCGGATTTGAACAGTTTTTGACCTGTTTCATACTACCGGAAGGTGTATGCTGGTCACAAATGCCGTGCCAAACTGATTTCCTACTCAATTAATCAATCTTTGATGTGAAATTCGCTAATAAACACGAGGCGCATTTCGTATAGCAAACATGCCATAACAAAATGGGCATGGTTCATTTAAGTAAACAAACTAACACTTCTTCCGACTGTTACACCTATGTATTAGCCGTCTCGGACCAGGTTGACATTATACTTTGCCTCCGCTTATCTACGGAATCTATAGTATCTATAATCAAAACAACCAAAAACCTTCTGGGAAGTAAAGCCAAGTATACAGATCGAAGCGAAACGAAAATTGAAAATTGAAAAATCATGAAATTTAGCTATAGCAAAAATGGTTGTTTCCAGTTTCCTTTTATCGCAGTTTACAGTTCATGTGAAACGAAATCGATCAGTACACGGCGAATGAGAACGACCCTAATTTGAATTTAGTTCACTCATAATCGCCAAAAGTGCAGGAACTTAGCGATGAGTAAATTTGTCTCATGGTTTCCTGTGGAAAACCTAAAATCTGCCGTAAAATGAGGAAATTGACGAAAATTTTATTCAGTCTCGGAGTAGTACCAATCGACTAAGTGAATCCAATCTTTACTTTTCTCAAATTCAGGAATTTTTCCCAGGAAAACCTGGGAAAACATGAGACAAATTTTACTCATCGCTGCCCTAATAAAAAATTAACATAAACGAATGATAACCCAAATCATTGAACTATTCCATAAATTGTTTGGATGATACCCAGAACACGACGTTAAGCAAATTAACCATACAATTTTTATTAGGGTGAGTTCCTGCACTTTTGTCGATTATGAGTGAACTAAACTCAAATTTCGGTCGTTCTCATTCGTCGTGTAGTTTGCACCTCCGGTGAAGTGATAATCTGACAGATACGCTCTTTCTCGAAACGTCAACTTTTCGCTTAGCTGCTGCTCTGTTGGCTAGCGCTGCATGCGCGAAAAATCTGCCGTAAAATGAGGAAATTGACGAAAATTTTATTCAGTCTCGGAGTAGTACCAATCGACTAAGTGAATCCAATCTTTACTTTTCTCAAATTCAGGAATTTTTCCCAGGAAAACCTGGGAAAACATGAGACAAATTTTACTCATCGCTGCCCTAATAAAAAAATTAACATAAACGAATGATAACCCAAATCATTGAACTATTCCATAAATTGTTTGGATGATACCCAGAACACGACGTTAAGCAAATTAACCATACAATTTTTATTAGGGTGAGTTCCTGCACTTTTGTCGATTATGAGTGAACTAAACTCAAATTTCGGTCGTTCTCATTCGTCGTGTAGTTTGCACCTCCGGTGAAGTGATAATCTGACAGATACGCTCTTTCTCGAAACGTCAACTTTTCGCTTAGCTGCTGCTCTGTTGGCTAGCGCTGCATGCGCGAAAAAAAAAACGTGAGTGAAAAAGATACGATCCACAAAATTAGATTTCGCTGGATCGTATCTGTTTACAGTTCAAAGTCAAGTGAATAATTTGCCAATTCAGTTTCAACATTTCAAAAGGTCGTAATTGCTTTTGTAAACAATGGCTTTAGCTGTTGCGAAATCGACAGCTAAAGAATATTAAAAGCTCACCCTTCTAAATCAACAATGCTAGCTGGTAGAGGAAAAATTCATCTACCTGGTAGTGTTATTAATTTTCATGAGTGAGGTTATATTCGCGAGGAAACGTCATTGTTTATGAGACGTTTCTGGTTCAACTCATGAATAAACTTTGACAGGAGGCGGTTACCTAAAGGCTGTGAGAAGCAATATCAATATCATCAAATTCTGGCAGGCAAACCAGCTCCTGTCATTTCATAACATGGATTATGAAATGTATTACCCCATATTTTGAAATGTTGGCACTGAATTGCGTTTTTCACGCAGGTGAAAAATGTAGTATTTTGTAGGAGGTTTTCGCTTCGCTTCCAGGGTCAAGTGATCCAAAATCCTCTTCAACTAAAAAAAAATGCAACCTGACGGGGTCTACGTTATTATCTTCGTCTGTTGCTTTGCCAGAAATAGCGCACGAATTAATGAGAAAGAATCCAGCCTATTTATAGAATTTGGTATATTATCAGCATAGAGACATTCTTAAATCCCACATTCCGTAAAGTTTACATTTCGAAACTAATTTTCGTAATTTAATACTCAGCGAGTCGATCTAGTGGAATAACTTTTAAACTTTTAACTCAATCGCTTATCACTAACATCTTCCTACGCAAAAACATGTGTCTTTCTCACCGAAGATGTCCATTTGTACAAAATTCCTGTTTTCGTATTCCTATTTTTTACCTGCCAAATGATAATGAAAATCCTTTCTTGTCCCCAGTTCACCGGTAGCCAGGAGAGCATCCTTCAGCTCGATCTGGACATGGAAGAAGGTGACCTCATTGACGACCACAGCAGCACCGACGGTGGCTACCAGCGTCGACACAGCGTTAGCCCACTGCCGCAGATCAGGGCATCCAACGAGAACCGGGTATGGACTGTCCCATTCTATGACCCACGAAGCTGAAACACGTGGTAATGTCTCAATTTGTAAAACTTTCAGCTTTCTCGAAGCTCATCGGAGTCGGATTCAGACAACGAGCAGCAACCATCCTCCAGCCGGCACCATTCCAACAGACAATCGGTGGGACGCGCTAGCGTCACATCCGGAGTGGTAACCTCCACCGGTTGCACCGCTTCGGATCGGAATCGCGATGAGGACAACAATATCTGCGTCGGATGTCTGGCTGCAGCGCTGAACAAGAAGAAACACAATTTGGAGAATACCTTCTCGCCGGACGATGCCGATAGTGACGTAGGATTGGTTAATTGTCTGGCTATCTATTTCAAAAAATCTAATGTCTTACATAATTTTAGAATTTTTCCGCCGGACCGAACGGTTCCTCGAGTCTTCCTGCTACCCTAAAAAAATACAAAGGCAACCACTCGACTGGCTCGTGCCGTGGTATGAATCCTCCGGATCACTACCACCAGCACATTCCCCACCAGCAGCAGTCTCAGTCGAAGCTTCCGTTCAAGTTCTACAAGACCGATCACAGTCAGGTGCGCAAGGTGCGCACCCCGCTGAAGAATCTGATCTCCCAATCGGTGTCGGCACCGTGTGACGATGGTTCGCTGAGTAATATCAACCTGGGCTCGGAGGAGCACGCCTGTTCGGATGCCCCGGCAGCTTCGGTCAAACTGCCGGCCCGCCGTTGCTCGCTGTCCCGAACATCTTCCAGTGGTTCGGAGTCGCGGAATTTCGCTCCTCATCATCATCATAATCACCAGCACCTTCACCACCACCATCATCACCATCATCACGAACCCGCGAATTGCGGTGATCCGGAGCCCGATGACGACGGTTCGGACGAAACCGAACCGAACAGTGACAACGACCTGATCGCCAACAAGAGCAGGGACGGAAACGATGGTGAGTGCAAGAAGAAGTGATAACAGTGATATTAGAATGTATGCTTTGAATTGCGTCGGGGAAAACCGAACCAATTTTATTTTTTTTTCAGTGTATCTCAAGACTCTAGCTCCTTATTTTTTTTCTTGGATATTGCTCCGATTTAAATAGAAGAGAACAGTTGCGAAACATTTTTCCAGAGTAGAATCTAGATAATACTAAACATGTGCGTGATATAAATGTACTTTCACTCTCTATCTTCCGAAACAAACGAGCAGGTGAAGGATTCAGACGATGTAAAAGTACGGATTTTTTCAAGTGTAGTGTGTTGTTACAACTTAAGTTTCGTGTGTTTTTTTTTGACGATCCTTCCACACTTTCCGCTCAAAACATTGAGGCAATACTACTATAATCCCTATAGAACAAAATTTCTGAAAAAAGTTATTAGAATTGCTATAGGAAAATTGTCAAAGCGAACACTACTTACTAGTACTGTAGAACAATAGGCCATACAATTTAACCCCTCTGATAGGAAAAAAACGAAAGAAGCTTAATGATATTTAATATGAATATTAGGACAAACTCAGAACTAATCCTAAACAGAAAGTAGAGTAATGTTTAAAAACCTTCACCTAGAAAATTGCGCCATTCGGAAAGTGAGCAGAGTTAATGTTTTTGCCTTTCTCGTATTTTTTTCTTCTTTGATTCGGAGAATGTGACAAACCAAAAGCCTAGTATATAATCGAGAAGCGGTAGAGTTTTATTGCAATAAAATGATAGATTAACATACATTATATTTGACTGCACTATATAGATGGTTCCATTGGCGATGTTGGATCAGAGAAGCTGTTGCCGCAATGGTTCCGATTTAAGAGTTACATCAAAGTAAGTGGTCAGACGGGGTTTTTCAAATTAGAACCAGGAATAAGATATAGAGAGAGAGCGAGAGAGAGAGAGAGAGAGAGAGAGAGAGAGAGAGAGAGAGAGAGAGAGAGAGAGAGAGAGTATGAGACGCTTGTGGGGTTGTTTTAACAAATGAAAGGTTATTATTATTTTTATTTAAATAGGAATGAACAGCTCATGCTCAAATACTCATGAAATGATATTGCGTTGAAGTACCATATTTGACGCACTTTTGCACTATGCCCGCACATAGGCATTTAAGGCGCCAAAAATTTATTTTAAGTCTGGTTTTCTTGAAGCTTTCAGGGAATGAACTAATACATAAGGATTATGTTTCAGCATAATTACTTTATTCCATTTCCTTTCCATCGCTGAAAGCTCGCACCTTTTCCTTAAGACCTCTCATTACATTTTGTGCAATGGTGGAGCCGACCTTTTTAGTCACTTTCATCCATTCTTTCTTCAACTCCAACTCGTTCCTTGGACGATTTTCGAACTTTGGTCTTCATTATGGCCCAAAATCTTTCCACCGGACGAATCTCTGGTGAATTTGGGGGGTTGGCGGTTTTTTTTATTCAAAAACAACGTTATTGTCTCTGTACCAATCCAACGTCGATCGCGCGTAATGGCATGATGCCAGGTCCGGCCAAAATAATTTCTCACCTCCGTGGGACCGCAGGAAGGGCAACAGACGCTTCTGGAGGCACTCGGTGCGGTAAATTTCGCTGTTTTTTTCTCTATTCGGGACCTAACACTACTGCGACCAGTAAATTGATCTATTGTAGTATATCCCGTGTCCTTAGTTTAGTGCAGGTTGTATTACTCCATCACTATTGAGAAATGATTGTGTATTCGGTTTTCATACAATTGTCATTCTTGCCTTCATCGCAAGGAATCGATTCTAATTGAAAGGTCCCGCTATTTATACCCTTCGGAGTGTTGGAATACCCTCCAAAGGCACGCCCCTTTGTCAATCAAAACTGGATTCCTTAGCAACAAGAACATACAATGACACCAATAATGACCATGCATCAGTACCCTAGTCTTAACCACTTCAAACTAGGGAACAACGAATAGAAGATTAGGAATCACATAGATGAAGACTAACTAACTCAGTTTTCCCTTGTTTCGGTCCAGGCAACCGAGGACTTATCATTATCAACCAGGCATAAAAAGTAACAAGGACTACTGATTACTGAAAAATCCTGTTCCCCTAGTTTGAAGTAGTCAGGACTAGAAATCGGTGGTAGATCTTACATCGCGTAACGTACCACAAAAAGGTGATCTACCCACGTTACGGGGCTGTTGATGGTACCCATTGTAGTGTACGGTTTACTCAGTTTACCGCATTGGCATATGGCCTGCCAGAGCAAGTATTTTTTGGCAAATTTGTCCACTTTATTCTTCCTTATGTCTTCCGGAACATCAAACCGTGATTTGGCAACGTAGAACTCCAGCCTCGGTATCTGCTTTGCGTCTGCCTTGATGTAGGTTTCGTCATCCATAACCACACACATCGGTTTCGTTAACCAGTCTCGATACAGCTTCCTTGCGCGGGATTTGACCGCCGTGTTTTGTTGATCACGTCGATTCGGTGCCTTCCGGACCTGGAATACACGAAGCCCAGCTCGTTTCATGGTTTGCTGAACGAACCAGGCGGAACACTTTGCCTTTAGAGCCGCGTCGCGAATCGAAAGGTTCGGTTGAAATAATCTAACACCTTCCGGGCCTTCACAGGGTCAGCTGTCTTCGATTTTCTTCCACTTCCAGTCCACCGCTCGGTCGTCTGGGACTCCTTAAACGATTTTACCATCCGAGACACAGTTGTATGGGTGATTCCCAGTTGTCTTCCGATCCATCTCATGGTCGCAGTCGGATTTTCCATGACGGCGCGCAAAATTCTCCGGCGATTTTCTTCTTGTTTCGATGACATCTCAATAACCACTGAACCGATTGTTATGAAATTTTGCACATGTAAACAATTCACTCCAAACTAGTTATACCCCGATTTTCATCAATTTTTACCCACGGATAAAAAACTTACACACGGATACAAATAGTGCCATTTTTTCGAGTACAAGCCTTATTTCACGGAATAGTTCCCAATAATCAAGCACTCTACTTTTTGTTTTCTAGGTCAGTGCCAGGCCAAATCTACAAAACGATATGCGTCTATTCCCGGTACGAATGTCCAAGATCAATAAAATGTTGGATTTTTATTCTCAGTTCAATCCATCATCCATCAAACAATTCATAGATTTCGGGAAGTTTTTATGTGCCAAAAGTGTTATCAATTGAATTGCGTTTTACAATGGAAATGAGAGCTTTAGCTTTTGAATAATACAGATAAGAATATATATTAAAATGAATTAAAACATTAATCACCTTCCTGTGGTCATATCTCATAAGCTCAACCTCAATCCATTTTGTATAGCTGTCCACAAGATAAACCTTTTTCTAAAAAAAAAAAAAAAAAAATCAGCGTGAATTCTGCTGAAAGCTTTATTTGTAGGAATATATGAAGATTAAGGAGGTTTCCTGGAAATAGTTGTTGTTTCATGGCAAATTCTGCAAGATCTAACAAAATCCTCTATGTACAAACCAGTATACGGTCCTCCTGGCTAGCTGCTTAATTTTATACATACCCGAGTGATTTCGATGAAGTAGTTTCAACACGTTCCTTTTCTTAGATTCCGGTATGATCACTCTGTCCTGGAAAAGAATACATCCTTCCACTTCTTCCAGATCCTGATAATGAGAATAAACGTCCGTAAAACGTTTTTCCAATCGTTCCGGTCAGCCTTTCTTCAGGAAATTTATAACTTTTACCAAAAAGTCGTCATGTTTGGTTTCTTGTGCGATTTGTTTCTAGTCGATTGGAAATTTGTCTGTGAAATTCAAACTCTTTACATACGCTCTATCCAACTCTCTGGGTACTTCCTGGGTGAGAGGAAAACGCGAACAAAAATCTGCATTGCCCATTCAAGATGATGGTCTATATATTATTTCGTATTCGTAAATGGAAAGCTCGAAAACGTAGCGCCTCGTGACTGATATCGAATTCCTACCTGGGTGGTCCGTAAAAATGGTAAATTTCCTCCTATACAGGTATTTGACTACTGCAAGCGACTCCAAATGAAGAATTGGGAGCTTCATTAAGAGAAAAAGACGTAAAGCAAATAGACTTTTCTTCATCTGTAGAACAAAGGGTAATAAATTTGTTTTCGTCTTCTTTTTGAAATATTCTTCAATCATCATCATTGGTTTACACATACATTCTCATATTATTAATACAAAAATTTAACACTTGTATTTCATGATTTTAGAACGAAAACTTCCTGGGTAAAACATATTCATTGTATTTACTTACTTGTGTTCTTCGAAGCTTAGCACAATAACACACAATCGAATACACAAAATCCAAAAAAACTGCTTCTCAAAACTCTTGGTGAACAAAATTGAACACCAAGAAAACCACTTCACCTTTACTGCTTTGCCGACAATCGTAAAAGTATCATTGAAAAAGCGTTGCCAGATGTATTGCCTCTAGCAATGGATTTAAGTTGATTAAAACAAGCAATTCCGGAGTGATTTGAGATTTGAGCGTAATTGCATTTGTAAACAAACACGTCAATCGGCGATTTCTCGCGAATGAAAGCTCAATTTCGAAAACTAATAACACTATGGCATAACTTGCTTACGAGATTGAGCTTTTATTCACGAGAAATCGGTGATTGACGTGTTTGTTTACAAAAGCAATTACGCCCAAATCTCAAATCACTCCGGAATTGTGAAGTTTGACTCATTAATATAGATGAGTGGATGTATTTAATGGTGAATACATATCAGAAACTGGTTAAATAAAACAACAACGACCATTCTAGGCATTTTACCGGTCCAATTTAAAAAGTCACAGAAGATTGAATTCAACACTAACAGTATTGATGGCAGCAGTGCATGTAGCCTGTGTCGTATTATATTTGCTTTCCCGCTCAGGAGTGTAAACAAACTTGCATATAGCGCCCATTACACATGTCAATATATTGACAAACATCGTATTGTCAATCATCCTTAAGCGAACCCCACACGGTAAGAAATATTGTCAATACTTACAAGTATTGACAATAATATTGATGATGTGAATACAGAAATATTGTCAATACCGATGTATTGACGTCAATATAAAATGTATTGACAATACGATTATTGTCAATAAAAGCCATCGTGTACGGTCCACATTACAATATTATCAATACATAACGTATTGACAACATTAATGACAATTCGCTAAAGCGCTCGTTACACAGGTCAATATATTGACAGTAAATTGACATACTGACAATATTATTGAGAAGGTAATATTGATGACGTTGGATTGATGACGAGTATTGTTGAACAACTGATTTTCATTTCACTTTGTCAATATTCTTCCCCTACCC